GTATATATATATATATATATGTATATATATATATATATATAGATAGATAGATAGATAGATAGATAATAATGCTAAGCTCTTTGCAATGAATAGACCACTCTTGCAGATGGTAATGCTTATATCACGTATATAATGCGTTACGAATTCCCTTTCTTCGCAGCGTGCGTCGATAGACGAGGTGTAAGAGTCTGTAACTGATGTCAAATAGATCGAGTTTCTATCCCGGCTTTAAGCAATCGTCTGTCTAGCCACACTGAAGAGCTGCGAAACTGTCTGTGGGTGACTACACACACACACACACACACACACACACACACACACACACACACACAAATATATATATAGATAGATAGATAGATATGTATGAAAAATATACTCTTAAGGTGAACTATATTCATGGGATAAAGTACTCAATATCAGAGATAGAATGTGTGTAAATATAAAAGCGAACATTGAAGTCAACACTTAAAGTCGACTGGCTGTTTCATGATAGACGCAATCGTCAGGCATGAAACAGGCTGTCGCCTCTCTCTCTATCTCACTCTCTCTCTCTCACTCACTCTCTCTCTCTCTATATATATATATATATATGTACACACATATATATATGTACATATATATATATATATATATATATAGATAGATAGATAGATAGATAGATAGATAGATATTTACGCCAATGACACAGACACTAGAATTGATAACGGAATGAAAACACCGAAATGAAATACTCAGATCGTTTACTATCTATGTTAAAGAATATATATTTCCCTCTATTGTTATATTTGAAATTATATATTTTACCTCAAACAGCGTCACGTATACAGTGTATATATATATATATATATATATATATTATCCATGCAGGCAATATATATTATATAAGTTTACGTATGTATGTATTATGTTTTACGTATGCACCACAACAATTTTTACCACTTACTGTGTTTATGTACGCAGAAGCATCTTTATCGTGTTTTCTTTTGGGGAAATGAAAACATTGCTTAATACATAACAACTTATTAGCTGTAATTATCTCTAAGCGTTTAAACTGATCTTTTATTAAGAATATTAGATTACAGGAAGGGTGCAAACTACCGAAGCTGAGTTCCTGTTTGTCCAGACAGATACCAACTGAGTGAAACCCCTTATTTCATTTCTATCATATAGCTTTAGTGTGAAGGTTTTGGACTGAATTGCACAAGGCCTTTGATTTGCATCTAGGAAACAGGATTGAAAAGGTGAAGTGTTTTATTTTTATTTGTGATGTATTGATTGATTGATTAAGTCGTTTTCTACGGCCTATCAACCCTCTGCAGGTTATTTAAAGCCAGAATTTCTTTTTTAAATTGTAAGAACATTTGGGAAGAGATAATAATGGCTTAGAGATACAAGTCTTAGTGATTAACCCAATAGTTAGGGAGAGAAAAATTGGATTCATTCCTTTCCTAAGGGTAACCCAATGGGAATTGGGTCTCGTCTCTCCAATGAACTATTCTGAAACATTCATTATCTATTACACCATCCGCACATCCAAGCTTACAGTACCTTGTATTCCCAAGAGGCTCGCGCGTCGGTGATTGTGCAGGAACTGGGGTCTTGACGTGATGTGGCCGTAAGCTGTTTGTGATGAAAGGCTAAATGATAGCAAGATTTGGCCATTCACCTGTTTATTTATTTTCAAAATTAACAGAAAGCGTTAAAAAGAAACAACTGTGTATTTGTAAAATTCATTTTTTTTCTTTTTGCAGCCTGTATTGTCAGGCAGCAGTTGGATGTACAAATTAGGCACCAGAGGTTAGGCCTCCTCGGGTAAAGTAGTGCCTGCAAGAAAGGTCCACTTCAGCTGAACACAATAATTGTGTGTTTTATGTATTTATCTGAACACCAGCTCATTCTAAGTACCGCACAAGGTCTATTTAACACTGGGTTCCTACACGTATATAGAACCAGAGACCAAAAGTAATCCAACTCTCTCGGCACTCCGCCTCAGGTATTCACGTCCCGAGGGTGATGCCTTTCTTGCTAGGGTGGCGTTTTGCCATAAGAATTGTATAACCATCGTATATGATAAAAATTGCGCGTTTTGGATTTATTCATATGCCAACCTGAATATGACAAGTTTTAATTGGGAATGCGCGTGGACATGATCTAGACAGAAATATTTCTCTCTCCTGATCTGCTTTCGGAGAAGCCTCAAACTAATCACTTAGATATAAATATCAAGATCAAATTGGAAATGAAGAACTATAATTTTTAGAAATATTTTTAAATATGCAAATCTGTTATTTCCATTAAGAAAGAATCGCTAATCTGGTCACGTGATTATCATGATAACACACACACACACACTCTCTCTCTCTCTCTCTCTCTCTCTCTCTCTCTCTCTCTCTCTCTCTTGAAATTGTTAACATTTCTTAAATTAATAATATAAGCCCGGTGTCTGAGGGTCAGTCTCGTCAAGTGATACTTCTCTGATGAGATGATGCTCGGATCATCATCTAGCGCTTGAAGCTTCCTCGAAGGGAGATGAAGCTAGAATTTTTTAACATATGAATTTTTAAAAGAAATTAAGTTGCTTAGTTATTCAAAGACATTTTCTGTTCTGAAAGTGGTGATTTATTAGATTGGGTCATAAATAATTTAAGATTTTGCTTATACATAAACTAAAAGACGATTGCATTTTATTCAGCTCTCTATTCGTCATTATTTACAATGACTTGTTGCCAATTATAAGGAAGCTCTTAGATCTCTTCTGAATAATATTCTGCAAATGTTGATACGAAAAATGTTTGACTAACTCTTGACTAAGCCGTTCTGGGTAAGACGATAAACTAAGTCCAACAGCAAGGTCTCTGATCAGGAGGTTTTGAGGAGCATGGAACCACTTCTTAATTGCTGATGTTCCCAGGTCCACCCTGACCTGTGGTGGTAGCAGCTGTTAGGGTCCTAGCTTTGGGCAAATAGTTAACCACCAAATTGGGATCAAAACACTATGAAAGTGTAAAAACAGGTTTTAATAACAAGAAATACTTTGTAAAAAAATTATTACCAACAATATATTTTTGAAAAAAAAAATTACCAGCGATATATTTAAAAAAAATATTACCAGAAATAGATTTTTGAGAAAAAAAATATTACTAGCAATAAAAATTGTCGGCATTAAATAACCCATTGAGGTTGATATGTTGTAAAACAAACAAATCAAATCTTCAATTAGGGAAGCTTTACCCCGCCAAGTGTTTTGCAGCGATCAAAAATAGGTAATAAATGATTGCTTCAAAGTCAGGTGATTATGATGGATAAGATAGATCAGACCAAACAAATGTCCTGAAATTTTCCTCTCTCTTATTCTTGCTGTGTTCGGCATTTCATTGATATGGAGGAGAACAACATTTTTATTTTAATCCACCATATACGCTGCCACTTCCGTATTAAAAAAAAAACTGTAGGCTAGTGTAGTTTAAATTTATTCTTCAATGCCACGTATAATCAGTAGTTTGAATGATACGTTCCTATGACAATTAATTCCCCAAAGCCCAAATTGCTTATGACCCAATCCAATAGCTTGGGAATAAAATGAAGTACTGTATAAAGACAAGAAAACGATGTTCATTTAAATATATATATATATATATATATATATATATATATATATATATAAGTTATGAAGAACTTGGTAATCCGTATGGGTAATCCCAAGGAGGATGAAATCCTGAGAGCTCAATGTAAATCCAGAGTTAATATCTAAAAGAAAAACAGACCACTTTAAGGTACCATTATAATAATTTATTTCATCAGAGTCCTTTTAAAGGACGCCGGATCATCAGATAGCACTTCCAAAATGAAATGAAACGAAAAAAGAAATTAAAACTGATGGGTAGTGTAAGTTTTTGTAATTTAACAGAGAGTGTAAAAGGGTAGTTAAAAGAGACATGGTAGAGTATAATGGTACCTTAAAGTGGTCTGTTTTTTTATTATATATATATATATATATATATATATATATATATATATATATATATATATATATATATATATAAAAACTAACAAAAATCGGATCGCGGAGTTCAAATTCTAGTCAGGTTTGTTACGTTCAATTACATGCAAATGGCCTTAGGAAATATATGAATTCATCTCCTCCCCGCAGCTATGGCTTAAATAACAGGACGTGTATCTTCAAAATTATCATTGTATCATTATTATCTCCAAAAAACGTTAATGCAATATTCACCCGCAAAAGGAAAGAATTATTCTTACAATCCAAAATATGTCTCGGATTTAGGGTTGATAATCCACAAAGAATTGATAGTCCACAAAGGGTTGATAATCCAAAAGTATTGATAAGCCTCAAAGGGTTGATAAGTCACAAAAGGATGATTATCCACGGAGGGTTGTTAATCCAGAAGGGTTGATAATCCACAAAGGGTTGATAATCCAAAAGGATTGATAAGGCAAAAAAGGATTGATAATCCAAAAGTATTGATACGCCACAAAGAGTTGATAATCCACAAAGGGTCGATAATCCAAAAGGATTGATAAGCCACAAAGGGTTGATAATCCAAAAGCATTGATATGCCTCAAAGGGTTTATAAGCCTCAAAGGTTTGATAATCCACAAAGGGTTGATAAGCTGTAAAACAAGTCAATTAATCAATTTTAAATTTAACAAATAAAAATTATAATACCTCTTACCACATCTTTTGTAGTTACAGTTATTTTCTATTGATTGATTCATTTTCTACGGCTTATCAACCATTTACAGGTTATTTAAAGCCAGTAGATATTTTTAGATTGCAAGATTTTTTTTAGAGTGGGAGATAATAATGATTTCGTGATACAAGTCTTGCTAATTAACTCATAGCTGGGGGAGACGAGGTGGATTCATACCTTTCTCAAAAGGTATTTTGCGCGTAAGTGAATATAACGAACCCAACGGGAATTGGAATTCGATTCTCCGATTCACAATTCCGAGCCATTATCCATTACAACACCTCCAAGCTTACAGCACTAGGTATTCCCCGGCGGTCACCCGTCTAGGTACTGGCCAAGCTCGACGTTACTTAACTTTGGTGGTCGTACGGAAACCGGTGTTTCAACGTGTTGTGGCTTTGTTTTATTATTATACTTATGAATATCATTTTCGGAAAGAAGATGAGAACGGTTTTAAATTGATCTTTCTGTGATTATTTTGAGCTTAAAACTTCCCCATTATCAACAGCAGAGAATCATCTACTGTGCATTATACAAAATAGCCGTAAGAGTTGTGGTTCAAAACATAAGAAGTAAATGTGCCTAAAGTGTTTGTATTTAATAACTGAAGCTACTCAGTGAAGAAGACATCGAGGCTCCTGAATATATTTACGACCACCCACTTGGAAAGGTCGGAAACGGGAACAAGTGACTAACTTTTCCCGCCTTCATCTAAGAACGTCGTATTTCCGCTGAAGGTTCAACAAACTTGACTTGTCTTTCTGGTCGTCCTAAAACATTTTATCAAACACAGTTGTTTTCAAAAACACATTTGGCATATTAGACTTTTTTTTGTAGGGGTGGGGAAGAGTGAGTGCGTCAATGAACAGTGTCAATGAACGCTACGGCAAAAAGAAAGCCGTTATTCACTCAACACTTCCGGCTAAAAAAATGACATAGGCTCAATTTCAAGTACAATATATTTGCAGCTAAAGTGACATGAATAAGTCCTTTTATTTATTATTTCAGTTTATATGTACTGAGAAAGAATCAGTATTCTTATCGCTTTACCTGAATCAAATATAAGTTTCTCTATCGCCCGGTTCACACTTCTCCCCTGTCTTTTGAACGGGAGTAGAGGTTTATCCCTTGATTCGTGTTTAGGATTGAGTTTCCGGTTGCTTCTAAATACTGTTATTCGTATGTTTCCGCCTTGACTATTTTTTTTCTTTCTTCAGTAGGAGTAGACAGTTTTGCCTATCGCCCGGTTTACACTCCTCTCCGGCCTTTTGAACATGAGCAGAGGTTTATCGTTTTTTTTTTCCTGTTTAGGATCGGGTTTGCGGTTCCTTCTCAAATATGTTAATTCTCTTTCACTCCTTGCATGTTAGTGACATTGCTGCCTTGCTTGGGGCGAAGTGATTAAAAAATTATTAGCATTATATCACAAATGACCAAAGTTGTTTTTGGCTTTACAACTTTTCTTGGCTAATTCATACAGACGTGTGCAATGGCCAGTGATTAAAATGGCGTGTCAAGTTCACATTCTGACCACTCCATGGCATTCGCTTTCGCACAAGTACCTTTTAAAAGGTGGGCATGCATCTCTTTTCCATCCAACAAGATTTTAATAGCAGCACAGCCTGGGCTCTGGTTGGTTGACTGAAAATAAAACCAGCCTGAAGAGGGATGGGTTCCGTCAGGTATTCTTACGCCACTGCTGCTGCTAAGGTTTCATTATATACAGTGACCCAACGACCCGAATGCATTTCACCCTCTTTTTTTTCTCGTTTGCTTCTTGCAAGTTCTTTCTTCTATGTACATTATTCCATTTTTTTCTTTCTTTTCATTTTTAATCACCGCTAATAAAGAAATAATGATCTCGCTTCATAAATATTTAATTTGTTATTTAATCAACAACGTCTCTTGTTAATACCGTCCTTTATTTCTTTTTGACAGCCGAGTTCCAATTCCAGTCGGGCTCGTTGAATACCCTTGTGAAAGATAGGAATCCATCTCCTCCCTCCCCCCAGATATAGGTTAAATAGTAAGGCATATCTAGAAAAATCATTATTATTCTCAAAAAATGTTAATGCAGTACACACTCACCCAAAAAATATTCTTACATTCCAAAAAATGTTTCGGCTTTAAATAACTACACAAATGGTTGATAAATCGTAAAAAACAAATCACTTAAACTTGTCACAGTCCAGCATAATCACGTGACTAGGGTTTCATCTGTGTAGCAACAATGAAAGACCAAAATGGACAAGATTAGAATCCGTCTTCTAGTTGACATCTCTTGTGGGAGATCGCTGTCAACTGCCATATGACAAGGGTCGGCAAACTTTTGGAGAGTGGGAGTCGGACAGCTATGCAGTGTCTCGGAGAAGGGCCAGGATATCAAAAGTACAAATTGTCTTGAGTTCAGACAACTCCGTCCAGAAGGCTGCCTTCGTCTGGATGTTTAAAGAAAAAACAAAGTTCATATAGTATTTAAACAAGGTTCCTTATTTTACTGTAGGACAACAACTAACACAATCAATAAAAAATGCAAATTCTTTACTACGGTTAAGTTGGCGGGCCGGGTGTGGCCTGGGGATTGCCGAGCGCTGTCATTAAATCAAAGTACGATATAGTTGATTTTTAAACAGATATTGTTGGAACTACTGATATTATATGATAGGTGTAAGAACTTTTGAAATTACTTTTTCGAATACTGGTTTCAGGCTCTTTAAGTGGCGTGTCCCTTTAGAACGCTGGCGACTATGACTCTATCAAAAATTATTTTTACTTTTTTGTTGCACGGTCTTAAAAATATCTTCGTTTTTTAGTGTTTTTTTTTTTTGGTTTTTTTCTTCTTTTTTGGATAAATTCAGCTTACAGACTTTACATCGTTCGTTTTCTCTGTCTCGTATTTTGACCTCATTTCGCGTGAAGACAATGGCTTCAATTATATATAAAATAATGAAAAGTACTGAACTCATACAACAAACGAAAATTCCAAACTTGTGCAAAGTTTTTTTATTGGGCGTTGGCAATTTTTATTTAATGGCCTAAATGGAATTCAACTATCGTACAAAAATAATTAATGTTTCAGTAAAGTTAATTTATTAGGAAATTTGGTGAAAACGTAAAGAAACAAATAAGAAACCCGTTGATATATATATATATATATATATATATATATATATATATATATATATATATATAAAGATATTTTTGTGGGTACAAAATTTAATGATCGAAATAAAAGTATAAAACTTAATATTACGAGACATTTAAATCAGAGATTTAAAATTAACACAGAAATTTCTGTGTTAATTTTAAATCTCCTGTTGAAGCCTGAAGCTAAACCGGTTGCTTCGCCGGTTTTTTTTTTTTAAATATGTCTCGTAATATTAAGTTTTATACTTTTATTTGGATATATATATATATATATTTTAGTGTATTACTACTACAGAAATATTTTCTGATAACATCGTTTATGGACGTACGTATTTACAAATATCGGCACGTTTATAAGCACAAAATAATTCAAAATTATTTTTAAAATATTGGGGGTCGATTAATTGTACTAACCTTGTCCATGTATGATTAGTAAATATAGTTTTTACTTAAAACATTATCAATTAACCTCTGCAATGTAAAACAGAATTTTAAAAGATTTAAAACTTTATAAATTATTATAATTAAAATTTTTAAAAAATAAATCAATTTTCATAAAAATTCATTAGTCATCGAATTTTTTTTCTTAAATACAATAGTGTCAATAATTTATCTTCATTTATTGAAGCAATTAAATGTTTTCTAATTAAATCATCATTAAATTTTCTAATCATACTCATCAGGTATGTTTAACCGCTGTTTTCTCTCGATGCTTTTACTTTGAATTTTAGCGGTCTCTTTTTGATTGTTAGTAACAGTTTTAGTTCTAGTTTATTTTTTTTATTATAACCACATGTTTAGTTCATGTTATTCTCAACATTCGTCAGTAGAAGAACCACGCCCGTCTCACTTAACTCTTTTTATCTGCGAGAAGATTGTACATCATTCACTGCCCGACAGAAGATTAGACGCTAGGGAATTGGTAATGCTAACTATAACAAAGATTAGTGACTGAATTTTGAAGCCACATGTTGTCATCTGACCACAAAAGACAGCAGCAAATTCTGGAAGGAAGAAATTCGTAATAATGTTGATTGAGATGGATTCCTGAAAATAAATTTGTTTATTTCGAATTTAATATCTGTCTTAAATAGTTATTTGCCTTTTTTTTCTTTTTCTTTTTCTTCCACCCCCCCCTCAAAAAAAAACGACAATGACAAAAATCTAGCCACAAATAATATGAGTAGAATTAAGAGCAGGCACGGTGAAGTTAATGGATACTGGCTCGGATTAAGGAATCGGAGAGCCGAGTTCGAATTCTTATGTGCTAATACCCTTGGGAAAGTTATGAAACCACTTCTCCCCCAGCTATGGATAAATAGCAAGCCTGACCAGGTTCTATAGAATTGGATGGCAGAAATAAATGGCAACTTACTGCGGGAAAAAAAATCCGCCTCGTCAGTCATGTATCGAAATCACGCATGGCACATAACTGATAATGAAGCTGTTGCTGTTTCTTCATCTTCTGCTGCAGATGATGATGGTGATGATGATGAAATTTTAAGGCAAAATCGAATTTTCATTAGCCCCAAAATGCCAAAACTGTTATCATCAGTTGTTCCAAACATTAAATTACCTAATGTTTCATTGCCTTCTCCTCCTCTTTTCTCCTTGACTTTGGTTAGGTGGGCCTAAAAATATCGCGTCCCGACTCTCTTGCAGCTGTCGTTACTGGTTCATTATCCAGTTTATTACTAACTTGTTTATACAGAATCAACAAGACACGGCATGCGGCGTGCCCCACTCGTGGAGAGTAATTTGGCAGATGTGTGTGCACGCAAACTGCTCGCCTTTGGCTGTAAAGAGTATTTTCGGGTATATACCATTTTTTCAACATGTTAAACAAAAATTATATATATATATATATATATATATATATATATATATATATATATAATGAAGAAAAATATATACGGAAAAAACAAAAAAAATCCTTATATACAATTATACTGTTTTAATGTTAATATGTCAACGTCGGACGTTTCGGTCTAATAAACCATCTTCAGGGCATATTCATAAATTATAACATTATCAATACAATAATTTATGAATATGTTCTGAAGATGGTTTATTAGACCGAAACGTCCGACGTTGACATATTAGCATAATTGTATATAAGGATTTTTGTTTGTTTTTTCCGTATATATTTTTCTTCATACTGTCGGATCTATATTCATATATTTGCTTATATATATATATATATATATATATATATATATATATATATATATATATATATA